ACTGCCTGCGCTTGGGCCAGGGCCCTGCTCTTAGAGGTGTCCTGGATGAAACGGAGGCCTGGAGAGCACAAGGCCGAGGAGTGAATCAGGTTTCCCTCCTGAACTCCCAAGTGGCCAGCGGCTGTCTAGACTACCCGTGTGCGCCAGCCTCAGCCTGGGGGTCACAGAGCCACGCATCAGTGTTCATGGAGAACACGAAACCAAAGGGAGACAGGCAATCGCTCACCAGAAGGTTCAAGACCAGTCACACGGCTCCCTTTTAACCAAAGGAGCAGAGAAAGCTATACCTGAGGAAAAGCACTTCAATGAAAGAGAATCCACTGCCTTCCTGGTGAGAGCAGGGGCAGCAACCGTGCTGCTTGACCCTGAAACTGGAGAAACTTGTCCGGGCACAGCCCACCCCTCTCCCATCAACTGTGACGAACAGACAGAAAGAGGAGCTAGAAGAGAACAAGCATCTTCTTGTTTATTCAGACTAAGCATAACTTGAAAACTAGATGTTTTCACCAAATATAGTCACCTTTATTTCTTGCTTGCCATAATACACAAAATATTACACAACATCCCCTACCTACCTTACACGAGGGAAGAAAAAAAATTAAGGGAAAAAAAGTTTGTCATCTTACATGACATTTTAGACATTCGTTGATATTATAAAGGTAGATTTTGGGCCGGCCCCGTGGCGCACTCGGGAGAGTGCAGCACTGGGAGCGCAGCAGCGCTCCAGCCACGGGTTCGGATCCTATATAGGGATGGCCGGTGCGCTCACTGGCTGAGCACGGTGCGGGCGACACCAAGCCAAGGATTGCAGTCCCCTTACCGGTCACGAAAAAGACCAAAAAAAGGTAGATTTTCTTCCACCAGAAAAAAAAAATTGTATGAATTACACTTTAGGAATAAAGGGGGGCCAAAATAACTAACCCACTGGAAAAAGGAGCTCTTCCATCTAGCTGCTCGTTGTCACGCGGTGGGCTGTTCCACTCACCGGCTCCTGCTTCCCTGCGGCAAAGACCATTGCAGAGAGTAGTCCGGGGAAAGGTATTCTGACCAGTCCCGATATGAACAAGTGCCTGGTGTCTACAAGGTGTGCAAACATCAAGAAAAGTACTCCTTCAAGAAGGACAAGCAAGATCAAGATGAACATTTTTCCTCATCACCTGAAGCCTTCTCTTACTTCACTGTCCCTTCTGGACATCCGATTCTCTGATCGCACTGTTTCTCACAATCGGCTTTTCTTATTTAAGTCATGAAAACAGGCTTATTTTTGCATAAATTCGACAGGTTGATTTTGGAAGACAAGACTCACTAATGAGAAAGTGCAGAAGCATTTTAATAAAAATTTAACATTTATCAAAATAGTGTAAAAGTTCGGGGCTTAGACAAGTTCAGTAAAATGTTAGGTAAAGCATTACTGAATTTACTGAACGAGTAAAAGGCACAGAGGGAAACTTAGAATCCCTAGCTACCATTTCAAAATTGTTATTGTAAATTTGGCACAAGAGGGTATTTTAAGATTGATGCATAAAGATTTTGTTCTATTTCCTATGAGTACATTCCTAAGAAAAACTGCTAGAATATTTGCCTGTAACTTGGACCTGGGTTTTATGACTTGGCAGAATGTCCTCTAAGGGGCCCTAAGGAACGCTGTCAGAAGGGAGCCGGGCAGTCCCCCTGCAGTTAGGGATGCTGAGGACACTGGAGTGTGGAGGCTTGGCTGGCACAGAGGCAGGACGGGAAGTGGGCTGTAGGGAAGAGCGGCTCCTAGGTGATAATAAATTCCTCTCCGTCTGTGAGTCTCTGTGAGCTCTGTTCTTAAGTGATAAGACATGTGTCCTCTCCCCAAGGGACGAGTGACTGAAGAAGTGAGCTGAAGTCTTTACCCGCTCCCTTCCCCACAGCAGAGGTGCAGGGAACCCAAGCAGGTGCGAGGGAAGCAAACACAGGTGATAAAAGACAACTGAGGCAGCTCTCAGGAGGCTGAGGACAGAACTGCGTGCGGAGCAGCACGCCACATTATCTACTTTGCAGATGGACCACCCAGAAAATCTGGGAGCAATTAGGAGGGAGAAAAACAAATTGGGGGAGCGCTGAGGACAGCAGTGTGCAGTCCCCAAACTAACTGCTGGCTAGAAATTCCAAAGTGAAGCAAGACAGGGGGACTAGAAGAAAAGGAAAACAGTGTAAGCAAGCGGAGGTGTGCATCCCCCACCCCGCCCCAGCACCCACGTGATCCCATCAACTACAAAGTCCCGAAACTTACAACGGGACCAGAAAACAGATTTTTAAATGCAGAGGTTAGGAAACCACATTTAAACTCAAATTATTTCTGATATCCGCCTGAACATTTATAAGTGAATTTTAAATAGGATAAGTGAATTTTTATTTTTTATTTTTTATTTTTTTGTCTTTTGTCTTTTTCCGTGTCCGGCAACGGATCGCAACCCTCAGTGTTGCCCCCGTACCGGACCGGGGACCGGCAACGGGATTGCAACCCTCGGTGTTGCTCCCGCGCCTCGCTCAGCCAGTGAGCGGGAACCGGTCTGTATGTGGGATCCGAACCCTCGGGCGGGAGCGCCGCCGTGCTTCCCAAGCGGTTGTCTTTTGTCTTTTTCCGTGTCCGGCAACGGATCGCAACCCTCAGTGTTGCCCCCGTACCGGACCGGGGACCGGCAACGGGATTGCAACCCTCGGTGTTGCTCCCGCGCCTCGCTCAGCCAGTGAGCGGGAACCGGTCTGTATGTGGGATCCGAACCCTCGGGCGGGAGCGCCGCCACGCTTCCCAAGCGGCGCACTATCCAGTGCGCCACCGGGCCGGCCCTGAATTTTTAAAATTATGTTCTTTTTGTCAACAATAAGCAAAGATGCTCTCATGCTCTTTCAAGGCTGACAACTCCTTTCAATACTACGACTCTCCAGCCAAACTGAAGACCAGCAGCTAACATTTTGCATTCCCATGATGGGCCAGGCGATATGCTGTGTTGTACATATTATTTCATAAACCCTAACCCTCCAAAAGCATTAGCCTTCTTCTATGACCGATGAAGACGGAGATGATGTCATTATGTGGAATATCTTGCCCAAGGTCACAAAGCTAGGTGGCTAAGCCAGATCTCTGCAAATTGCACATAAGCCTCCAAACTGAGTGGGGTTTTCTCCCTGCACACAATCTGACTCATGCCTTTGCCCCGAAATACACTCTTATCATTCCTGTCTGGTCCAGTCCTTCTCATCCTCAAAGACCTGTTGTCCATCCTATCTCCAATTCAAAGCCTTCGTGATTGCTCGGGCCAAATGGCCTCCTGGGTCATCGCCTCTTCTGAATGGCTGTTACTGACCCCTTGGTCCAGGCTTGTTATAAGAACGTCCCAGGCCAGAAGGAGACCCTACCCCACACCAGAGCAAACATGTTAAAGTGCATTCTCATACCACATTATACATAATGCTTTCTCGTAAAATGTTTGAAAGGAGTTTTAGAATTTGGCTTTGAAATTCTCATTTTACCTAGAAATTACTTATGCTCGCTCAGCAATCACTGGGTATACTTGAGAAGTCTTGAGATACAGGACAGCCTGTAAGTTGTTTTCAAATAGGATAAAACTTATTGTGCTTATTAAGCTTAACAGTTATTAAGATTGATATTCATTTAGTAGAGTTTTAAACATTTATTAATTTCAATTTGCAGGGGTCTCCCTCACCCAGTTTTTGAAGCCTATGAATATGTTTTTTCAAGTCTCAAAGAATGTGGTAGGTCCTTGAAAATCTAGAGGGTGCTGAGCCCTGTGCCTAAATTATCTGACAGAACAACCCTGCGCACACCTCAGCCACGTGTAACAGATGTGCTGCAAACCCAGCTCCCTGTCCCGACATATTCACAATTTTAAGCTTATTGAAGACAGTGATTTTTGTCCTGTTCACTGATAATTTTTTACAATGACTAGCGTGGCTGCTTAATGAATACTTAGTGAACTCACCTACTGAAAACTAAATCTATATAAACACGAAAACTACAACATTGCATACATACTCCAAAATCCCTTTCCTATAGTTATGTGAAATTACTGCTACAGTTAATTGAAATTATATTCCTGAAACCTTTCACAATGTTTCGATTCCCTTTTAAAAAATTGCTTTGTCTCTACTGCTTTAAAAGGTGATATAAAGAAACACAACATAAAACAAAACACAAAGTAAGAATCTCTAGAAGCGTTCAATTTCTAGGTAACTTTGTTTCATTAACAGTTAGCTACGTATTTCCTTATAGGAGGGTTGTGCTCAGAATTTTCTAGACATTCCATATCCCTACTATAGCAATAACTTTCTATTACACACAAACTTCTCAGGCTCAGGAAATTTCCTTGGTAGTACACAGATTTTAACCAAACGCACTCGGCCACATGTGATGAAACATACACTACCCCCGTGCCCAACAGTTAGGTACAGGAAGCACGCGCTGAAGCTCTGTGAGGAATCAGGTGCGTGAGCAGCAGTCTTGTGCTTTGTGCATCTTTCTCAACCCCAGCAGAAAACAGTAACTCATTAAAAACATCTGCCATCAGGTACACTGGACCGTAACAAGACTTACATGAACTAACAGCGTGCATTATTCAGCATGCAAACCTTCACAGTAGATACTCATCCTTGGGTACAATAATTGGGCCTGAAATCCACAGGCCTGGCTTTTAAATCCTGTTTGATAATACTACTAAACCTGGATTCTTCCTTAAGATAATATTGCTACGACGTCAACTTTCTGCATGTGGGTTGCTTTGCCCACCTCCAGACCTGATGGAAACTGCAGTCAGATTTTAGGTGGCCACTGAAAGAATGCAAATTAAAGCTCACTATGACAATGTTCTTGGAGAATACCCAAAATGCTTAAAACTGAGCACACTGTGCTCCCATCAAAAACAGAGATGAGAATGAGAAATTCGGGAAGGAAAAGTAGGGAAAAGTGTCGGGAGAACTCGTGTTCTTCACACGTCTGTGTGGCGCTGCCCCACCTCTTTCCATTACTATCCCGCAGCATTGCTTTTCCCATCACTCTGGACTTGGTCTCCAGCTCCTGCACCTCCTCCAGCAACGTCTTTTTGCAGGTGTGCTTGGCCCTGGATCATGAAGAAAAGACAAAAAGAACATGGCATATGAACTCGCATGACATAGGCTCCATCTCCATATCTCGGGAGCACCTGAGTGCTACAGAACAGACCTGGACCACAAATGTCAGGACCCCCCCCGCCCCCAGGACTGAAAGTCTGCAGATCAGGCTGAGGAGGCCCGCCATGCAGACCAAAGACCACATGGAGTTCATGAAGATCCAGGGGCTGCAGTATTTTCACTGCAGAATCTGGAAACCCAGAGGTGCTTTCAACCCTCACCCTAGTGAACATAGGTGGGTTCCTTGGAACTTGCCCCTCCTACAATCAGAGAGCCCAGGGGTTGGCCATTTCCTCTCTCCCTTTTTAGTGGGAAAAGAGCCACTGCCATTGCAGGGACGGGGTTTATGATGCTAGAGTTCATGTTCTGGATGCAAGATCCTTGAACTGGAATTTGGAGTCAACACAATCATCCGAGCACAGCTTTCCCATCTTTCTCTGGCAATGACTTACCGTTTGGGTCCACATATACAGGCCTCGGTGGCATAAGATGACTTAGGAAATAACAAAAGCAAGCTGGCTTTTCTACTACAGTTGGAACCTCAGCCTGGGAGGAAGAGTTATATGCACGCTTTTTCTGCCTAAACTAAGAGGAATACCTCAAATGTTCAAATAGGCTGACCTTAGGGTCTTCCTAAAATTGAGACTAAACAAAGCTAAAGTTGAGCTACTGGTTGGAAACAAGATAGGTGAAGAAAAGGTAACAAGATATAGGTTAGATGTGGGAACAGAAAAACTGAAAAGAATAGGCTTATAAATTAGCAACACGCAGCAGGTTTCCTCATTATGAAACGGTTTGCAGTGGTTTCATTTCAACATAAATACATGTCAGGACCCTGCTAGGTACCAGGACTCACTGAGAGAATAAGAGCAAAGACTGAGCACATCCACACCGTAATGAAAACAGTGTCATGGGAACATTCCGAAGACGAGGGCTGCTGCAGCGAAGTCACATATACCCACCACCCTCCACCTTCAAGGGAATAAAGTCTAAGATAAAGCCCAGTCGTCTCCTAACACTCCAACTTAATCTACAATTGAGTATTAGCACTAGGACACTGTGTCTGTGCCTGTCACCCTCCCCACAAAGTAAACAAGGGAAAACCACACAGGTTTTAACACACAATACCTTAACTACATCAAACAGCATCCTGAGACACTTACTACGTTTATATTTATGTGGATAAAATACTGCACAGTATTTATGTGGATAAAAGTTCAAAGCACAGACTGTGATATTTTAATTTAAACAGTAAATAAGAAAACACCCAGCATTTTGCTGGAAAGGAAACAGTTGAAAGGATGTTAAAATGTATACTGTTCAGTACTATTGAATATGCCTGGCCCCAAACTTTACCTCTTATCTCATGGGGTTACGGGGCTAGCTTGGTAATAAGCCCACGGAGTGGCATGCCCACCCTGCTTGGAGGATGCAAATACGGTCCCAGGAGAAAGGTCCGGCCAGTCCTGAAGGATGAGCAGGCTCTCTCACTGCTTCACGAAGTCCCCCCTCCACCCGCATCCTCCCTTCCTCCTCCCTCTGCCCCCACCCCTTCCCCCTGCACAGGGCCTAGAACAGCCCCACTGCTATCTTCTGGGCTGGGAGAGAAGGGAGTCACTAAGAAGGAAGCTTGGAACTGCAGGGCGCTGCAAATCTATAGCTCAGGCCAAGACCCACCATAGTGAAGCTGCCAGTTTTCACTCATTCTCAGAATGGCCTCAGAGGGCAATGGTCTGAGCGTCTTGATGCTCCCAGGCATCGGATGAGTTCTCGGTGGATGAAACTGCATCCAAGAGTTTCTCAGCAGTTTCACAGTATTTCCCTTAGGCGAGCTCCTGTGAGCTGGCCCAGAAACGCAGTCGCTACTGAGAACACGGGATGATTAGGCTACTCTTTCTGCATGTAGCACTTGAGTGGAAGGGATCCTAGCAATTTAAAACCATTTTCTCAAGCACCTTCACCTGATAAGGCCTGAATTAGAAAAGTGATTATACAATCTCCCCTGTCAAAGTCTACATGTGAGTGGACAAAGACTTAGTACTTCGAGGTTATAAAGTCAGTCTTTATGCATTAGCCACTGACATATAATTTAGGTCTCACCATGAGCTGGGGTTTGGCATGTTCTGGGTCACAGCTTTGACAGACTAAGCCCTGCTGTCTGTGGGCAGCTTATCCCCAGTGGCCCAAAGCTTGCTTCATTGAACCCCATATCAAGAGACCACAGAAGGGACAGAGCGAGGGTATCTGGCTACTGACAGATGAATGTGAGGGTCATATGGGAGCTTTCAGATGTGCCGAAGCATATCTCCAGGTTCTTAGGGACTTTCAAAAGAAACAGATTGGTTTAGGATCTTAAACTTTTCATCTTTTTGTTTCTAAAACTTTTTTCCTGGACTCTTTCTTCTGCATGCAAGGATAGCAAGGTAAAATAAAATGTTAAATTCTAAATGTGGATGAAAATGTAAATACAATGTGCTTCAAAAGAAATCAGTTTAGTTAGAAAGTTCAAAAAAAAAAAAGAAAGCTCATTTGTATATAGAAATTGCTTATTACCCTTTGTTTCCATTTAACCGCCTGTCTGGGACTACGGTGAGGACATGAAGTCATTCTGGAACTGGGGAACGTATCATGTGATGACTGGTGGAGGACAGGAGATAGGCAGACAAAAGGAAACTGGTTCCTCTGTGTTCAGTGGCCTTGAGCTTTGTATTATTTCTACAAAGCAATACTAGCAAATTTCTCCTAGAACTGGTACATGGCAGCTTACCTAAGCGTGCTGTCAGAGGTAAGCATTTTGGAAGAGCGTAGCTATAGGATATTAAAACAGTTCTGGGAAATTTAAACTTCATGCTTCTAATAAAAATACTCATTAGCCAGGTATCACATATAATCAATCAATTACTTCAATAAAAAAATAGGTTGGTTTGGGGCCTCATGAAAATATTGGTTAACAGGATAAGAGTGTAGGCATTTGATGGCATTCCAAATCTGACTTGAGATAGTCTAACAATGGATCTTCACCCTGAAAGTTGACAGACTTCGTGAAAAAAGTGACTGAATTACCTCATTCTGTTTCTCTTTTCTTACTCTCAACAGTCTAGGTCCTGAAATGGAAGCAACAGACCAGACAAAGAAAGGGGAGGAAAGCAGAAAGACAGAGAACTCACTTTCTTAAGTGCTTACAGAAACTTTATTTGAAAAGGCCTTGCGCAGGAATTTAAAAGCCCTTTCAAAACAAGTTCAGAACGAAACAAGAAATCCTTAGGCTTGGCCCAGGGCAAGACTGAAGAGCTGCAGCACTACTTGGAAGGTCCCTGACACCACCACGTGCTGATGTCACACTGCAAGTTCCGCGGAGGCTCCTTAATTCCTATTCACTAATTTAAAACACTTCTCGGAAGTTCAAGGTGTATCACATCATATCATGCCTCAATAAATATTTGATGACTTAAACCAAATGATGGGTAGTTGTAGACAATCAGGATTAATATTTTTGTTCAGTGTGCAGGAAGAAAAAAACAACATGCTTTCTAAAGCTGCAGTTCAGAAAGAGAAATCACAGTTAAGCATTGTGGCCTTATCAGAGGTAAACAGTTAATTCACAATATGCTTTCTTTTCTTGGGAGAAACCTCCAAATTTACTTGCCTGACAACAAATATTTCAGGCTTGGAATATAAGATGAAATATAATATGGGTGCACAATCAGAGGGAAAATGCCCAAATAAACTCACCAAATACTTGTTTTTGTGGGGAGAGGTGTCTGCAGTTTAGACATTAAGTAGATATTACAAACTGAACACACACTTTGGGCAATATGCCAGGTGACACACAATATACACCATCCTCCTTGGAATTCAGCAGGGGCCTTTCTGGCTCAGTGCAGAGCTGAGATGCGGTCAGCTCCTGGGGAAAGCTGTGTCTGGGCTCGTGGTGGCAGGCAGCAGGCAGCAGCCTGCAACTGCTTCAGCAGGACGACACACATGGCCAGCCTTCCCTGCTCGCCCCCACCAGCACCTCCTCTGCAGAGCTTGGTCTCCGCTCTGACCCGCTGCAAGCTCCTTGGAAAGGAAGTGACTTTTACTCTTTCCATATGGTGGAGCAATGTCATTTGATTTATCCTTGTTAAAATGTAAACGGTGTTAATTTTACAGTGCCAGGGGAAAGCAAAAACAAGTCCTATTTGAGGGAATAGATAATTTGCTTCATGGTGACAGGGAACTTTTACTTGGAACACACTGGAAAAGATCCAGAAAACAGATAAGGAAGCACAGAGGTTTTGTAATCTGCAAACACTCTCTTTGAAATGCAAGAAAAATACCTCCGCTAAAGTCTCTTGCAAATATAGTCTCAATAAAATCTTTTTTCATGACATTAATTTAAGATAGCTGAGTTAAAAGAGCCTGAGACTCATTTATAATCATGTTACTACTTCTCAATCACTATACATTGAAAAAGCTATCGGATGTAGCCAAGACTGTGCTTTATTTACCTAAAACTAGTTTATCTTTGCAACTTTGAACAAATTCAGCAAGAGAATTATATTGGGCCACAACTGGGCCTATTGGCTAAAGAGCAAATAATAGAACTAATATTTTCTTACAGTGCACTATTAGGTTAAGAATCTCTCTCTCCTGGCTATCTTCTGTTCATTTTTAAGGATTCTGATTCTACTATTTACAGAACACAGTTTTAGCAAATAAAATGGAAGTAGTGGTAAATCAAAGCATTTAAGAAATTAGAATTATTTACTTTTTTACTAACAGTTGAAAAATTTAGTAAGCAGGAGGAAAGAACCCAAAATACGTGCTATAAGACTCTCCTCGGTCCCCCCCGCCAAAAGTATCATCCATTGTCAAGATAACACCGAAATGAAGACTTTCAAAACACATCCTAAACTGTCAGGAGAGAATAATTCTCATTGAGCGTGGGAGGAAGAGAGATAAAAATGAAATCTGATGCCTTTTCCTGGAAGGTTTGGATTAAAGTTTCAATTCTTTACCTCAGAGCCTCCAGATAATTATGCTTTGCCCAAAGTAAGGCCAAGCTAGATTTCTCAATTTTCAGAGAAGTTGGAAACTATTTGTAGGAGAAACTGGGCCTACCCAAAAGGAAAATCATATTATCTCATTTGGAGCAACCTCTCATTTGCTCATGGATGAAATTAAAATTTATATTATCTTGGAAGTTAGTTGTTTCTTTTACATTGTACACAGGATATTTTGAAAGCAATGTATTTTAAAATACATAAGCAAAAATTAAGTTTGAATGATTTCTTATTTAACCTACATTACCATTTCATCTTTGTGATTGATTTTCTAAAGGCCCATAAACTAACTCCCTAGAAGAATTTTATTGGAAGGATTCCTAGTGTGAATTGTTTGGAAAAATGAACACTACATGATTCTTGTAATTTGAAAAGATTTACATATACACAATTTTTGTTTAAGCATGGGATTTAAAGCCAGGCTCTATCTGTGATTGCTAAGCACTGAGTTTAGGATATAAAGATACAAAAATTTTGAGTCATACATGCTAAATTTGCTGGAATGGGTCTGTACTTAGAAACTCTTCCTTATAACCATGTAGAAGGCACTGTCCCTGCTGAACTTCACACAGTCTGTCTCAAGACTCCTTTTTTGTCTATGTTTTCATATCAAGAGGAAGCACAAGTTTAAATTAAGAAAAGAAAGCCTGTCACTCGTAGGTGGCTGGAGACCTGTTTCTTCAGGATACCTGTAGCAGTTAACATCCTGTGGCAGGGCTCCTGTGAATGACAACTGCAAGGACAGATGAGCAGGACTCAGGGTCACCACATCACTTTCAACTTACGCTCTCCATGCGACGTCTTCAATCAAACATGCAGTAGGAACCAGAAATAATCCCAACCAGAAATGTGCAGAGCTCAGGACCATAGTCGCCTGCAAGAAACAGAAGTGACATGTGTATTAATTCCTTTTCTTCCAAAAACAGTGAGATGTAATTTAATCAACGTAAACATCCCTCAGCACAAAAAGAACAGACAGCATTAAATTCAATGAAAGGTAAAACATACACCTGGGGAGAAGGTCGGGGGCGAGGGGCTGGCTCCACTCTCACTTTTATAGGGTTGCAAGCCCTCTTCTGATCATAAGCTGTCCCAACCCTTCCCAAAGAGGCATGCTGGCACCGCCAGACTCTGTGAGGCAGCCCGGTTCTGCCAGGCTGCCTTCCCTCGCCCAGCGGCACGTCTCCTCCTGGCTCCCACGCCACTCTGCCAGCATCCACATTGTGCTGCTCGGGCAAGGCCTTGCGACTCTCCCACTCAGAAGAGGAGGAAGGACACTGCAGGTGGTAGTCCTTGCCTTCGAGGACTTAAAACCCTGTGGCATGATCTACATCCCACAGCGGAATATAGGATGTGTCACGAAAATGTCCTGTGGGATTTCTGGGAAGATTCCTTAAAGAAGACAGAATGTGGGTGTGCCTGGAAAGACAGACGGGATTTGAACATAGAGGGGGCAGAGGGAGAGCGGTTCCAAGAGGAAGGGCAGTGACAGGAAGCTCAGTGACGAGTGCAGCTCTCCAGGAGACCTACTTGCTCCTGGTGCGCCCAGTCTGGGGTGTCGGAAGGAGCAGAGTTGCAGGGTCAAGCTGATGTCGGGTGAGGAGCTGAAGCAGCTGGGGCGAGAGCAGCAGGGGAGGAGTTCGCTGGGAACAGAAATGGGGGCTGAGGAGCACAGACTCCTTAGTTTGGTTTCGAGTGAGTGAAGCCAGGGAGCAAGGACCTGGTTGGCAGTTGGCAAGCGGGTCCTTCTTGTTCATTGGATTTTCTTTTCTGGAGTCCTCAAGCACTGGATCCTACTGCAAAAGACATGTCTTCCCAGAACTCACTATATCGTGGTGTGAGGCTCACAGAGGGAGGGAGACCCCTGCAGGGACTCAGAGGGGCTGAGAGTTGGGCGAGCCCCGAAGCAGTTCCCTTTACGCTGTACATTGAGGGTGTGCTTCATGCCGGCCCAGCCTGGCATCCAAGCATCAGCTCAGATCTTGATTTGCATCTTCTGCTCCAGCCACATGTGCCGTGGCCCTGCAGGCTTCCCTCTCAGGGTCGGTCCCCACAGTATCCTCATCACCCCCAACCCCCTGCACCCCGCCTGCCCATCTGGCCATGCTCATGCCTAGGCACAGCACTCTTGCTCTGAACCCCATCACAGAGCCCTGCTGGTGGCACTTGGCATTTCATGACAATGAAACAGAGAAGCACTGATGTTTGGGGTAAAAGAGACCAACTCCAACCCTGGCTTGGGAAGACTTGCTTTCCTTTTCTAAAAAGAAGAGCACTAGCTTTCAAAAGAAAAAATTTAAACCTAAAAAATATAAGCCCATTTTGCTTCATCAATCACATCTCTCAGAATTCACCCTAAGGAAGTAAGAAAATGTGTACAGAAGCAGCACAAGAATATTCACGAGAGTGCTATACTGTCAAAGGGATCAGAGATAAACCAAGCAGAGGACCTGCTAAATATATTGTGGCACTACATACAATGGACTTCTGTGCAGCAACGAAAGTGATATAGAATTATACTGGTTGAAAGAGAGATGTCATATGATGACACTAATGTAAAATATGGATTCTAACATCTCACAGGGAACCTGTCACGAGCATTGTGGAAAAGGGATCACAACGGACCCAAGTTTCAAAATTAAACTTGGGGTGTTTTCTCCAGACGCAGTACACCCATGAGTTATCATGTCTTTGTGTGAGCATTAAGCATTACACATAAGTTAATACACATCCTAGGTACCAAAATTTTGTAGTCTTGTGTTGGTATTTCCTCACCTTTTAAAAAACATTCTGGGACTTCAGAATCATGGAGTGGGTGTCCCAGGCCTCGATGGACCTTGGAGTACCTTCCCTTCATGTGTGTACATGCTGTACATTCAGGAAAAACACACAGAACGGCAGCATACGGAGACGAGTACGTGGGTGGCAGGATGGTGATATGTGTTCTCAGAGCTCTCTGTCCATCTGCATGTCCTGGCTCTTCTACAGAAGACGGGCATCACTCACATGGTGGCAGAACTCGACTCCCCTCCCAGCCAAGAAAAGCACAGGAAGGGTCTGCACTGGCTCCTTCCACCTGCCGTCTTGCCTCCCTGGTGACCGGGTCTCGGAGTTTTGCTCCTGCTGCGAATGCTCAGGGTGTGCTTGGGCCGTGGAAGGCGGGCTAGTTCAAGCTGTACTTGTGGGAATTCCTACGCTAGTCTAGTTATCAAAGAACACAGTCCTTTTTCAACAATAATGTACTATGTAAAGTAGATTATGCAACTCGGTAAGAACTTTAGTTGCTGAGGGAAAAAAATGAAAATGAAATTTGAACTCCCCTACAGAAAATATGAAGCCCTCCCAAATTAATACAGGTTAAATGGGGATTTGAAAGTTTGTAATATTGTTGGCTTTTAAAACTAGGAGCTGTGAATATAGCACATACATAACTATTTTAACTAATTTTAAAGGTGCGTCTCAGAAAGGTTTCTACTATCTTGATTTTCACAGATTGACTGAGATCTAAAGTCCTAAAATCCTTCTAAGGCCACAGCTTTACTTACTTAAATTTGGTTAAACTGTTCTTGTTTTAGTAGCATCACAGCAACAGAAAAGTTTATTGAACTGGGCTAGGTGACAAATAGTACTTAATTACATCCCACCCCCCACCACCAAAGACCACCACTGAGTGGGGTTTTAAAAACATCGTTTTGGGCCGAGCCCATGGCGCACTCGGGAGAGTGCAGCGCTGGGAGTGCAGCAGTGCTCCTGCCGCGGGTTCGGATCCTATATAGGGATGACCGGTGCGCTCACACCACTCACTGGCTGAGCGCGGTGCGGCCGGTCTCAAAAAGGACAAAAAAATAATAATAATAAATAAATAAAAACATCGTTTTGATGTGCTAGCTGTCCCATTGAGAAGAGTGCACCCTTCAGTTAACAGGTCTTTAGCTAGTGATCTACTAACCACTTAGGTGCCAACGCCTAGGGACCCACTGCAGTAAGGGAGGCTAAGGTGGGTGCAATTACTGGACACGTCAGGGCACAGGCTGGTGAGGGCTGCACACAGGATCGGAGGCTTGTCTGACTACAGAGCAGTAAGCTGTGTGGCGCCGCCCTTAGACCAGGAGTGTTAACCAGGGACACCCACAACCCTGGGGATCAGGGATTAGTGAATTCATTAGCATTAGCCATGTTACTAATCACACACACATCCACAGTGCCCCAGGACCAGCCACCCATGAACAGACAGACAGACTAGAAAAGGTTCAGAAAAAGAGGCTGGAATAGAAAAGCCAGGTAAGGTCAGTTTGTGTTCCCCAGTGTGGGGCGAATTTGAAAAGATGTCCTGTGAGGAGGAGGAAATTAAGATTTCTTTGTGCATCGCCATGTGCCGGGACTTCTCATAAAGCAATCCATTTAATCCTCCCAGTTTCCACTTTGCATAAGAAAAATTAAGCCCACAATTTCCCGCAAGCTCCTGTGGCCAGAGTAGCATGCTCAAGAGAGGTCGGTCTGCCCACCCGGGGGCTGGGGCTGCTCTGTCATATGGGAAGTGCGTGATTAATTTTATAAGAAACGTCCATAGAGGCTCCATAGTGGCTGCTTGAGCAAAGTAACTGTCTGAGCGTTCCAGTTGCTCCATGTCCTCACCAGCATCTGGCACTGCCCGTCTTTTCTATTTTAGTTGCTCTAGTGGTTCATGGGGGTAACGATATTGTGCACGATGCGGAACCACTCTGACAAACACTGTCCCCATCCCATGCTATTCAAAACAAAACAGAAGCTACCTGAGAAGAGGCCCTTCTCCACCGACAGGCAGGACAGCTCAGACAAAGTTAAAAGCTCCAGAAAGAAAACTGCAAAGCAAACAAGGACTCCTCCCCCTCTAAGGCATGCAGAATGAGATGTGTTTTTGTTCCCCGGGCCAGTGAGAAGACATTTCCCAATTTCCCCAAATAGGGAGTAAAGAGGTATAGTATTGTTGCTGTAATTCACCTGCTTATTAGAGAAAAAGTTGAGGCCCTTCAATCCCTCAAATTATTGACTTTTTTCGCTTTTATAGGTAGTGTTCATGTTAATTTTCCATTTTTCTCTTTAATACCCAATTTTAGACACCAATGGTTGGTCTAAAACCAAATAGCTGCATTACATCACCCAGAATGAGTGCTGCACTAGGCTTTCTAGTAACTTCCTGAGGCTGCTGTTTGGAAGTGAGGGCTGGGCGATGCTTCACTACTCCGCAGAGGGCATGCTGCGGGAAAACGCAGGCAGGGAAATGGCATATTACTGCTCTGGGGATGTGTGGCTCTTCTTTCCAAGCAGAGAATGAGACAGGTTTAAACTTGTGCTGTGTAGTTTAAAAGCAAGCAATCCGTACTCTCTTTTGCTTTCAGGGACAGCATAAAAAGGGCAGCATTCCGTGAGGACACGTGCATGGTCTGTCTTCTACGTGGCAGGGCAGCTGTCCAGCAGGAGCCACGGGAGGGCTTCAGGGACACCCAGGTGCTGAGCCTCAGCACCAGCTCAGACTCTCCTCTGGCAGCTTCCAGGAACTGTGCTGGGGCCTGTGTGTCTGGGGCATATCGTTTATATTGTGTGTTTATAGCAATTTTAGCGACCACTGTTTCTAGACTGCAGCACTTGTGTGGTTATGCAGAAAGCTGGAGAGCCCCTGTGCCAATGCAGCGAAATTGTCACCTTCCCAAGGACAGAAAACAGCTGCCTGATCATCACAAAGACCCTGGTAATTTGGAATATTAGGTTCCACATAAAAGCATCATATTTAGGACAGATAGCAACACAGATGGGGCAGATGACCAGATCACCTCATCACTGTTGAGCAGCAAGTCCTGAGAGGGAGCTGAGTGTCCCCCACGATTGTGACCAGCT